TATATGCAGAAAATGAAGCCCAGACACGTTTTTTAAATCATTTGGTGTGCTGTAATTAGTGGGGGGGTCCAGGGTTGGGCTGAATCCCTGAGAGCAGTAACAACATTATTATCAGACATTTTCTTGAGTTCTTCGTGACTGATGTGTAATTACAGGAGTTAACAGTGTGACAATTAGCCCCCGTAATCGAACCATGAGAAATATTAATGAAGACGCGATCATTCAGAACCCAAAAACAGTGAAAGTTGCAGTGATGGGCAGATCCAGGTGTATTAACAATATTCAGTGACTCCAGATAGTCTGAGATCTGAAAATAATGGCAATAATATGAATGGTGCAGAAAAGTCTCAGACCATAAAACGTCACAAATCAAATGGGCAAACAAATCCGACGAGGTGGCCCAACTGCAATTTAAGTTGGGCTGAGGGGGGTTCCGGCCCCCCTGTGAAGATGGATGGATGCTCCCATGAGAAACAGAAGCTGGGTCCAGAACCAACAGGCAGAAACAGATAATTTGCATAAAATAGCAGAGCGAGCTGCCAGAAAATCCTCCTGAAATGAAAGGCATGGTCCTAGCCCGTTTCAGGTCAACAGGGGACAACAGCGTGGTCCGGAATAAAAATAATTATTATCCAGGTGAGTTTGGATGGAGGTCTGCAGCCAATCCGATGCAAACACATAACTTCTCTCGAGCACCACGCAGTGCTGCTCCTCCTCTTTTCTGCACGTCACCTCCACACCCGACAGCACGAGAGGCACCCCCGGTGAAAAACGGTGAGACTGACCGGAGAGGCTGAGGCTAAAGTCGTCACTGGTCCGGTTCTGCTCCAATCCGGCTTCGGCGCTCCACAGCATGAGAGGCAAAGAGGCTGAAGTTGTCTCTTGCTCGGTTCTGCTCCAGTCCGGTTCCAGCGGCGATTCAAAGCTTCAGAGCGTCTCCTCCAGGTGAACACAGCAATTCCGCGGAGATGGACAGTCATTCGTTAAAAGTAACGGGCTACTCACTGAGGCTGAGACCGGCTCTGTTAAAGACGAATTCCCCCACAGCCAACTATGTTCGGTTCTGGTCCAGTTCAGGTACGCTTCCTCCACACCAATGAAGACACCACGATGGCCAGTCCAACAGAAAACCAGCGAAATGCCACCCGGCGATTCTTGTCGGAACCAGGTAGAACCACAATGTCCAGATGAGAAGTTCGTTGGGATCCAGAGAGAGAGAGAGAGAGAAAACACCGGGCTTTAGTGTGACAACTCCCCAGCTCGAGGGGAACTGTTGCCCACTTGACCCTCCAGTACTCTTCATCTGCCTCTGGAGTCCCACCAGCCAATAAGGCCTGATAGGACTCTTTCTTCAAGCTTGACAGCCTCCCTATCCCGGGGTGTCCACCACCGAGTTCGAGGATGGCCACCACGACAAGAACTGACAACCTTACGGCCACAGCTCAAGGCATCCACCTCAATAATTGAGGCGCGTAACATGACCTACTCAGACGCAATGTCCCTTGTCTCAGTTGGATTAAAAGTTAAAACTCTCCCAGAGGTGTGAGTTGAAAATCTTTCTGATGGGTTCTTCTGCCAGGTGTTCCCAGCAAACCCTCACTACCGGGTCTGTCCAACATCTTCCCCCACCATCCAACTCACTACCAGATGATGATCAGCTGACAGCTCAGCTCCCCTCTTCACTCAAGTGTCCAAAACAAACAGCCGCAAATCAGATGACACAACTAAAAAGTCAATCATGGATTTCTGACCTAGGGCATCTTGGTGTCACATGCACTTATGGACACCCTTATGTTCGAACATGGTGTTCATGATGGACAAATGATGACTAACATAGAGGTCCAACAACAGAACACTGCTCGGGTTAAGATCAGAGAGACTGTTCTTCCCTGTCACGCCCCTCCAGGTCACAATGTAATTACCCACATGGGCATTGAAGTCCTGCAGCAGAATAAAGGAGTTCCCAGCTGGTACACCTTCCAGCACCCCCACCAAGGACTCCAAGACAGCCATATAATTTAAACTGCCACAAACAACCCCCAGAGCCTGTCCCCCCACCTGAAGGCCACCCTCTCATCTACCAGGGAAAACTCCAACACACAGGCACCAAGTCGGGGGGCTTAAAGTGGACCCACACCAGCTTGGTGCCTGTCACCAGAGGCAACTCCAGAGTGGAATAATGTCCAGCCCCTCTCAAGGAGATTGGTTCTGGAGCCCATGCTGTGTGTCGAGGTGAGCCCAACTATATCTAGTCGGTACCTCTCAACCTCAGTCGCCTTCCCCGCCAGAGAGGTTACGCTCCATGTCCCAAGAGCCAGCTTTGGTAAGCCAGGGTCAAAGCGCTAATGTCCCCGCCTTCAGCCACTGCCCGTGGCAACATGTAATAATAATAATAATAATACTTTATTTATAAAGCCCTTTAAAACAACCACAGCTGCCACAAAGTGCTGTACATATAAAATCAAGAACATTTAAACACATAAAAACAGTTGTTAAAACATTAAGATCAATAAAAGTAATAAAAACAGTGCAGATCAAATTCAGTGTGTGCTAAAAGCCAGGGAGTAAAAATGTGTTTTTAAAAGAGTTTTGAAACTGGACAGTGAAGGGGCTTGTCTGATGGGAAGAGGGAGATCGTTCCACAGTCTTGGAGCAGCAACAGAAAAAGCTCTGTCCCCTCTGAGCCTCCGCTTAGACCTCGGCACCTCCAGGAGCAGCTGATCAGCTGATCTGAGGCACCGAGCAGGAGAATATGGGTGAAGCAGCTCAGAGAGGTAGGATGGAGCAAGACCATTTAAACTTTTAAAAACAAATAAAAGAATCTTAAAATGAACTCTAAAATGAACAGGCAGCCAGTGGAGTGAAGCCAGAGTGGGGGTGATGTGCTCCCTTTTTTGAACTCCAGTTAGAAGCCGAGCAGCAGCGTTCTGGACCAACTGGAGGCGTCTGAGGGAGGACTGGCTGACTCCAAGGTAAAGAGCGTTACAGTAATCCAGCCGAGAGGTGACGAAGGCATGGATTACTGTTTCCAGCTGCTGTTTTGTAAGGATGGTCTTTACTTTAGCCAGCTGTCTGAGGTGATAAAAACTGGTCTTGACCACTGCTCCAATCTGGGACTCTAATTTAAAATCACTGTCCATTTTAAAACCCAAGTTAGAAATAGTTTTCTTTACATGTGGTGCCAGAGGGCCCAGATCAACAGGGCAAGGTTCACAAGAGCCACTAGGACCAAACACCATCACTTCTGTTTTCTTTTCATTGAAATTTAAGAAGTTTAAAGACATCCAGGCTTTGATGTCTTCAAGACACAACAGAAGTGGCCTAATTGAGGGGGCATCTTTCTTTTTAAGTGGCATATAGATCTGACTGTCGTCAGCATAACAATGAAAAAAGATCCCATGCTTTCTAAGGATTGATCCCAATGGAAGCAGGTAAAGGGAGAAAAGCAGGGGACCTAAATAGAGCCCTGTGGAACCCCAAAACACAGAGGAGCAGTGGAGGATTCAGACCCAGCTATGTTGACAGACATGGTTCTGTCTGCCAGATAGGACCTAAACCAGCTCAGTGCAGTACCACAAATACCCACTTGGTGCTGTAAGCGTGATATGTACCCGACTCATATGGCCCCTCATGCAGGTGGTGGGCCCACAGGAAGGCAAACCCACGTTGCTCGTTCAGGCTGAGCCTGACCAGGTCCCTTGGGTAGAGACCCAGTCACCAGGCACTTGTCGACAAGCCCCTCCCCCAGGCCTGGCACCAGGGTGGGGCTCCGGTAACCCACGTCCGGGCAAGGAACACTGAGCTCCTTGTTGTTGTTTGTCCATATAAGTCTTCGGAATTGCTCTTTTTCTGGCCTGTCACCTAGGACCAATCTGCCTTAGGAAATCCTATGGCGGCGATTCAAAGAGGAAAAAAAAAACAACATGTTCAAATCATTTTATTTCTCAAATAAAATAAATGTAGCGTTTTCAGAACAAATATATTTTTTCAACAATCAATATTACAATATTGACTAAAATAATAATGATTTGTATTATTTTGATAAACAAGCTGTGGGGTTCTGGGGTTTTTGTTTGTCTGTCTGTTCACCTTCCCTCCACAGCTAATCAGCTCAACTCCACTCACCTGCTGCCTCTCTGGGAGGACTGCTACTTAAGCAGCTGCCTGGCACCTCTCCAGTGCTGGGACATCTTCTGCCATTGGACCTTTCACGGCTTGGCTCATCAGGTTCTCTCTAGGACCTCTCTCACCACTGGATTACGCTCCTGTGGATTCACGGTGTTCCTCCATCCTCCACTTAATCCTTCGTTCCGTCTGGGTCAACCTGCTCCTCTCTCATCCAACCAT